GGTCAGAAATAAAATATTTTTGAATGCTCATATCTGTTGTCTACATTACAATTTCCAATTTTACAAAACATTCAGCAAAGTGTGAAATACAAAATATTAATAAAGCCTTATGTCAAGTGACTACATTACTGAAAAATGAAACAATTCTGGTACTTACAAGGAAAAATATTTAACAAATCTGGTACTAACAAAGAAAATGATAAGGTAAAGAAAAGCTTCGAAAACGCTATAGCCTTAAGACCTGAAGTGATACATTAAACAGATCTAAGTTATTATGATATTGATTTCCCAGCTTCAAAATATGAGGAATCGGACGGTTCAAAGAATAATTGGCATGGAAAACATGTATATGAAAAATGTCAGGATTTATCGTATCTTTTTGCTTGATATGAAAAGTTATTAGTTGAAATAATTCTGGGCAGTTTGTTTCAGTATTTATTAACTTGAAGAGGAAACTCAAGTTCATAGAAATTATCCTATCTTCCAATGATTTTATATATAACTTGGTTAAAAGTTGACTGAACTCATATTCATTTCATTGAATACCAAAGTGAAAAGCACAATTCCTTAAGAATTTCTTTTGAATATTCTCAATCAAATCGATATTTACGATATAGTATGGGTCCCATACAACTTCTCAACATAAAATCCAGCATTTTGAGACTTTTTGCCACAATTTCTGATACTTGAAGATCAAAATTAATTTCGCTATCAAATTTAACTCCGAGATCGCGAATAAATGTTTCTCTTTTAAGGGCTATATTATTCAATGTATATTCAAAGAATATACTACTAATTTTAGCGAACATGACACTTATCAATGTTTACCTCTAACAAACTATTTCTACCCCACATGGAGAAAGCTTCGAGATCTTTTTGAACTAATTCAGCATCTTCTCGGCAAGTAATTGCTCGATAAAGTTTGAGATCATCAGCAAACATAAAAAATTCTGAATATTTGAAAACAAACTCTTTGTGAGTTTTAAATCGCGATATCTCGAAAACGGTTCTTTCTCAAAAAAAAATATCGAAACCATTTTTGCAGCGTACAAACTTTCTACCATACATTTTCCTGGCAGCTCTCACCATTCACGAGATGCACTCAAAAAAATTGTGACTTTTAACCTCGAATAAAAAATAACGCACGGGTGTGATTGATGAAGACTTTTGTCATTTCATTTAAAATGACGTACTTAGGGTCTGTACAAAAATACAGCTTGTTAGGAATTGATGCAAATTGGAAGGTCTATTTTGCCTGGGCTATAGTTACAGGGCGGATAGCAGAAATTAGTTTGCCATTCAATTCATAAAGTTGAGGTTGTCAGACATTAATGTCAGTCAAAATAAACAAAATCCAAAGTCCGAGATAAATAAAATTGGTGAGTAGTTGAAGTGCTATTGATATAAGAAAGTAAACTTTAAGTGAGTACCGTTATTCATTAAAAATCTAATTAGAGTAAATTACTTTACGCGAGAAGATGTGAATGTGTCGGCCTTTTAGCTACTGACCCACATCCATTCGAATAGAAGAACATTGTATAATCACGTCAATCACTATGGGTTCCTTATTTAAACAATGGAATGGTATAACACAGGAGCTCGTCAAGACAATGTATTAATTACAGATTCTGTCAAAAACACAAACACACGTGAGAATCAGGAAGGCAGGTCTCTCGACGCAAGCAATTTCTACGGGTATTATGTAAAAATGATGGAGAATGTAAGAAATTTGTTTGGAAAACATGGACATATAAGATCAACAAGAGAAAGTAGGTAGGATGAGCCTCATATTACGGTGTCTTCAATTGAAACTATTATTACTTGTCTAGATTTTTACAAAGTAAATATACCTAGTAACCACTTACTCTGTGGGAAAATGTTAGAAAATTATCGACCGATTCCCATGTAATAACGAGATAATTTGTATTGGTGAACAATACTTGTTTATATAATGGAGATTCTCTTGAGATGTGCTAATTACATACAATGCATCAAGTGAATTTTCACAGTTCAGAAGGAAAGGTGTTATATGTTGTAATAAATTGATTTCGAAAGGATTATAGAAGTGAGCAGTAACAGTATTTGAAACTATTGAGAATAAATCTGGTCGAAGCCGAACAAATGAAATGGTTTGTTAGTAAATTGCCAGCCATTGAAGTATTTACACGATGTAAATTTGAAATCTTTCCATTCTCAATCATCTCCTCTCAGAAAATATATGAAGAATCGAAATAAACGCAATTTCATTTACAGGAGGAGCAATCCAATGTCAACCCTCAGCAGTGAAAATTTATTCGAACTAAAGACTAACGAGAGCTCACCTTTTAATGTGTGTTTCCTTTCATAAATGAAGAAATTAATAAATTGACAGAAGGATTTTTTTTTAAATCACAAGAACAGGTTAAAAAGACCAATATATTTCCAATATAACAAACATGAGGAAGATGATAAAGAAAGAGAAAAAGGGGCAGATTTTTACTTTCGTAAATGAAAAACAAGCTTGCTTTATATCTACGTGAAAGAAGAGCTGACATTATTAAGGAAATCAGAAGAATTGAGATATAATAACAAAAAGAAAATACGTTTCTTTCTGATAATGTATGCAGATGTGAAAACAAATATGAGAAAAAAAAGAAAAATTGAATATAACTTCTTGAATATGTTATGTTAGGAAATGTCACATATTTTCAAATATTTTCGTCCCTTTCAGTGTCAAATTGTCGTACATTATTTTCGAAATTTAAATATTACTTTGGATTTCGTTAATAAACAAATTCTGAATATTATTTTCACAAAATTCTGAACTTTTAGTTCAACCTACTTATTATTCCCAATATGATACCGGTACTTTGAACCAAATAACTAAAATATTCACAAATCTTCTAGTTCACATGAATATAATAAATATTTTAAACTTTTTATGGCTTATGTCGCCATTTTTGGAATTCTATAAATAAATTATTTACCTACTTCAAAGTGTGGATCACGATGATGACTGCAATTAGTAGGTTATGCATGGTAGAATGGTTACAAAATAAAAATCTAGGTTTATGAGGTAGTTGTTCAGCGATACGAAGATCGTTAGATAACACTTTCCGATCTCAGTATATGCCAGCAAAATTTTTACTCACCAATAAACTCATATTTCAAGATCAAGCAACAATAATAATGTTGAAAAAATTCGTGATTTTGCATTCATAACTTACACCACTATTTAATTCCAGTAACAGTAATATTTCAGGTTCTGAATCTCATTTAATAATTTCTGATGTTTCTTACTGAACAAAGTTCATATGGGAGACTATTGCTTGAACCGCGTTTGACTATGCGTAAAATAGACAAAAATGAGTAGGTAAGACTATTGTGTATCATCTCACAAAGTTAATGAATGAAAATATGAGTTCCTTGAATTTATCATAAAAAGCATTAACACATTCAATGAATATAATCACAGGCAATGATGAGTCATTAAATAATGTAAGTATTATTCCTATTAGTAGTGTTCAGTTAAAACTTGTGATTGATTGAGTCGTGATATTTTGACAGGAGTGAATAAACAAATCAATACCTCATTGTTGTAAGACAGAACTTGTAGACGAAATATTTACAAGATTCACTATGAAATGACATGTGAATGTACACTGTTTTCATTAATCGGTTTCATTTAGCTTTCCCTGTTTGTTTGGATCAAATTTAGTAATTGAATTCCTGTTGAAATTCTGATCTGAAACTAGCTATAAACATTTAGTTTTGATGACAATACAATTTAATGAATTCTGTATCATTGTAAATCCAAGATGGCCGCAGCTACAAAATGGCGGATTAATAATTTCACAACTACATCAATATGGGTTGACTAGTGAAATGGTTAGAAGATTGCTCGTATTAAGCCTATTCCTAGAAAGAGCAAAAAAAATCTTCCAAATAACTATAGACCAGTCGCTTTTCTATCAGTAATAATGAAAATCATGGAGAAAGCCGTAAACCACTATATCTTTGAATATTTGCAAGGCTTCAACATCTTGAGCTACCATCAATATGGCTTTCGAAAACAAAGATCAACAGCCGACTTTCTGTCGTATGTCACTCATATTTGGAACAAACCAAATTTTACCTCTTTCATACACTATGTTGTGTAGCAATCCTGTGAATGATGATCTGATTCAATTCCATAACAAATATTTGGAGTAGAAACTGAATAAGATAAAGTGTATTTTATATAATTCAATGTTCATATAAAAGTAGTTGTTTCCAGAGGCTTGATTTTTCTAGTTTTGTGTTAAAAATTTACTTGTTCTTTGTAATATAAAGAACAAGTAAAACAAGTTGTTATATAAAGATGGTGAAGTAAAAAGACAACCTTTCTTTCACAAAAATTAATCTCTCCTAAAAATATACCCCTTTCAATTTTAACAAGATTCTTATGGCTGGGATTGCATCAAATAAGTGAAACAATGTATAAGGAAATATGGCAGTAAAGTTGAGAAATGGTCCTGAAATAAAAAACGTTAGATGAATGAAATTAAGGGGAATCTTGGGCATTGTCATACCATTGGAGTATTTCTGAAAGATATAATTTCTTTTTCTTCTGTGATATAAGGTAGTTGAACAGTCTGTGAAAACAACGTTTTTGATCTTAAATGAGGTTCGATTCTTAACACAAATATCCTTCGAATCTATTCTCATATTAAATATTTATTGTATAGGTACTGATATCAATATTGAAGATATATTGCTATCAAAGATTTGAATTATTTAGTCATATTACATTTCTTAAAGAACGATATCCAAGAAGCATGACTAGAAAGGTTTTTTCAGTTGGTTTCTATAAGACCAACTACATTTTTGAATGATATCATTTTTTGTTCACTTTTGATGTAAATCATTAGCAAGTTATATAATTTTTTGAGAGTATTAGACATTAATTCGATGGTATTACCATTCATGAAAACAAATTGCTTTGCCCCCTAGAATAATACCAGATAATAAAACACAACGAATACGGTGACAAATGTATTTTTTAAAACATAACCTATAAAAAGCTTTATACAAAAATAAAAATTTTATGCATGGTATTGATCACTCGAAGATGTTGTTGACAGAGATGTTGATTGATGTTGTTGATTGCATCATGACCCGTTTGAGATGGAAAGAGATGGTATTTACACTTGAAATAGTTTTTGAACTTAGTACGGGGCTCCGTAGGAACCAGATGGTACTGAAGGTGCGCCGTAACTTCCGCTTGGGCCGCTTGGGTAACCACTGAAACCAGCTTGGTGAGAGATTTGGTTGTACTGAGCAACCTGGATGGCTTGCTTGATTCCTTCAAGATCGATTCCTACTACGCGGGTTTGGTAGCTTGGTACTCCGTATTGTGGAGATGGCACTCCGTATTGGGCGGATGGGGCGTAGTGACCGACTCCACCGATGCTTCCAGAAGAAGAGCTCTGTTCTTCTCTGAGCAGGATCTGGCGAATTTGTTCCAGAAGAGCTGGATCTACGGAGGCTCCTTCGGAGGTTTGATATCCTGAAGAAACTGATGTGTATCCTCCTCCGCCCCCGGACAGTCCACCCCCGATGGAGATACCTCCACCTCCACTGGGCCTGTTGTAGCTGTATCCTGAAGGGGGTTCAGCTACGGCGACGGCTGCCAGTGCGAAGACTAATACCTGGAACAAAAAAGTTGAATAACTACTGATGTTCAAAATTTGATAAAGAAATAGATTATTTGAACCTCAATATTTCCCAAACGTCGATGAGGAAAGGTAAAGTATCCTAACTGTCAGAAACATTATCAAAAATCGAATATATCAATGAAAACTTTTTACAAATATGTGAAGATCATGCATCATATTTATTTTTTTTTCTCGAATTGGAAGCTCCACACTTTTTATAATATATCGATGAAGAAGTAGATAGCTAAGTGAGGGATTGAAAAAACTGTAAGAGGCTGATACTCTATACTGGATGTCTGGACACCAAGGAGTCATAGGTAATGATAAAGTGAATGAGTGTGCTAGAAACGGATCCACGTATTCAACCTGAACCATATGAAAATCTACGGTGTGATCCCAGATATGGAAATGATTCAGTTTGAAACATAAAGAGATTGGGAGAAACAACTGAAAAAACCTGAACTATTTTGATACAGCAGGGATAGGCCCAGAATGATCACAGGGAATTGTCAGGACATTTTCTCTAGACTCTAGTTTGTGATCAAGTTTGAAACATGTTTGTGAATTTAGTGAACCTCCTCTATCCATGCAATTTATGATTTCGTTAACATAATGGAGATGATTGCCTGATAATTAGATATTTTAAGAATCTTATGAAAGCACATCAAAATTCAACAATAGCTTCAATTAGGAAAAAAGGATAACCTACCAAAACAGCTCCATTATCAAATCCGTATTGAATATTAGTAATAGTTGGCTTCTAGAATCTTATGAAAGCACATCAAAATTCAACAATAGCTTCAATTAGGAAAAAAGAATAACCTACCAAAACAGCTCCATCAAATCCGTATTGAATATTAGCAATAGTTGGCTTCTAGGTTCAAGTAAAAAAGTACCCTTATACAACTTGAATACTCTTAATAAAATTGAGAGCGACTTGAAGTAAAATAATAACTACCGAATAATGGAAAACAGCATGAAACAAACTTGAATTTCTGGGTCACATGTGCCCACAAAGAGACTGACTTATGAGACGGTAACTGTGCAATCAGTGTCCATCATCGGTAATCTCATCTTGCATCTGGCTACTTTCTAAAATTATAACACTTTCCCAAGCTGACAAAAGGAAGTAATTTGAATTCTGCAAGAACGCCGTTTCTACCATGTTTTCTTCGGTAGTTGCAAGTAGTTTAATGCATACCCATCATTGTTTGAGGAAAGGTTTCGAAATCACCGCGTAATAGTCGACACATAGTTTGCTTGGCTACTTATTTCCTGTTTGAAAAGATAGATGTGTCGAAACCGATTCCTTCTTCACTTGTCGACTGTTGTTAATGTCTCATTGTTGATGTAAGAATATACAAAAGAAAATACTCTTAATCGATTAAATCCAAGTGAATCACGTAGCAAACAGTCCGTATCAGTAATGGATGTGGAATTTGTTAGGTCTTACATTTGATTTATATATCTACAGTACTTTTGACTCAATGATATTTGCTTGTTTATCATTCGGTTTGGCGAATGGTAAGCTTCTTCTCTGCCAAAAAATTAATGGACTCATGATATCCAATGAAGTTTGTCTATTTCTCGTTTTTTGTAAGGAGTGATACGTTTTTTGGCTAGTTATTTGGACAAATTGATTCAGATTTAGATGTGTTAGATTCATTGATAAAAAACAGCAGAATATTTGATTTGCCTAAAAGTCGTTTTGAATTATTGTTATGCATTTTGTTGGTTTTTGACTCTTTTTTTTTGTGAACCATTGTTCCATAAGTTATATAAAATTAAAGTATGCAGAAAACCAACAAAAAAAGGTTCTCTCTCTCTCTCTTATCTGATGGAGACATCTTCCATTAGATTTACTTGAAGGTTGAAAAATCTAAAAAGATGAGAATGAACAACAAAAAATAATCCTAATTCAATTAACTGAAATTTTGTTCAATTGAATAGATTTTATTTCATGTTTATTATTATTCAAATTCACTGCTGAACAGCCATTTTTCGACAAAACGAAGAAATACCTAAACTTTGTTTTTTATTTCGAAAAACTATCGAGCCAAAAATTTCGAACTGAAATTTTCAATTTGATTAAGATTATTTGTAAAAAATAATAGTTGAAATATAAAGCATTCAGTGGAGATGACAATACTAAAAGTCGAAGAAAAAAACAACTGATATTAAGAATCATGGATATCTGTTGAAAATTAAAACGTCCACAAGTTGACAATTACATAAAATAAAAAAAAATCTTTCGCATTTTTGTTCTTGTCAAGTAAAACTATTTCACTACAATAAATTACATGCTGAATATAACTTTCTCATCTGCCAAGAAAATGGTCGCCATTTTAGGAACGGTGCAATGAATTTTACTTCAGTTTCTTTCATGAATGGATTGTTTTAGAAAGTCAAAAATACTACTGATAAAAAATGTATATGAATTTTCTCATTTGAATGATTTTTGTCGATTAAAAATATAGCGTTTAAAAAGCTTTTTATAGTGTCTGCCTCATTTGTAAGTCAGAGGACTTGATAGTTCAAACTCAGGATAACTGGACATTGACACTTAAAGAAGGTTAGTTGAAAGTCCCTTTGTCGATTAAAAATATAGCGTTTAAAAAGCTTTTTACAGTGTCTGCCTCATTTGTAAGTCAGAGGACTTGATAGTTCAAACTCAGGATAACTGGACATTGACACTTAAAGAAGGTTAGTTGAAAGTCCCTTTGTCATTAACACAGTCGAAATAATTGCTAGGTACTACAAAAAAAGGTTCAACAGTTTATAATCTTTATAGTAGGTGAAATATAGTGGGTATTCGCTTATGCGAATTTTAATTAGCTGGAATAACAATGGTGACTTCAACGATAAAAGGTTTTTAAGTCCCATGTCCTTTACTTATAATTGAAATGGTCATTCAATATGACATATAAATGGAATGAACTGGCAGTTGTATATTTTTGAAACATTTAGGAAGCTGTAGATTTATTTTGAAGGAATATATTAGTAATCAAGGAATCAATAATATTACAATTTTCCATCTCCATTAATCTGTAATCAGAGAAATTATATCGAAACGTATTATACTCGTACTTGTATTCTCTGACGAGTATTTTGATTTGAAGACGTCAAATGAAAGTGTCATGATATACTGAATTTTATTAAAAGTAGATAATCCAGAGAGCTTAATCTTGCAATTTTTTCATTCATTTATACAGAGGCCCTCAAAATAAATCATCAGAAGTTACATGAAAAAATCTTAGTTTCAATATGTAGAAAATTTCTTCGAAAAATATTCATTAATTCTCAACACTAACAACAAAAGTGACCTTCTCAATATGAAGAATATTTTTTCCGAACAGAAAACCAAAGCACTCCTGGATAAAAATCGAATTGTAATAATTGTCATGATTGTGATACAGGACAAATCGCACGTTACCTGAAAATGCGGGTGTTAGAACACATAGAGATTTTGGTTATATTTTGCGAGAACTTTTAATTTTTTTCTTGATCTATCTATTGTTGACTTCCAGCCTCATTTATCAAAAAGACTAGCATTGATACATACTCGTATTTTGAATAGTATAGTGAGAGCTCGAAAACGGACATCAATCTTTCTATAATAAAGAGTAGTATGAGAAATTTAAATTTTGTTATTGTGAAGCAAAGAACTCATTTCTAGACGTCTATACGTGATATTATTATTCAGTGCGATTTCAGGTAACAAAAACGGCTGCAGGACATTTTTTGTGGTTTTATTTTTCGAGTATAGGAATTGCGATCACACCAAAAAGCAGAATCGAAACTATATTTTCGGCAAAACCGTTCGCACAATTTTCCACTTCTCAAAAATGCAACCACAAAAAATACCACTGTAGACACTTCACGAAGATTATCCATTTGCACTGTTAACTCGCGTAATCCACAAGAAAAAACAAAACACCAGAACTTACCACGCTGAAAGAGTTCATGATGCTCGAGATGACTGGGTCGAGTGGTGACTGTACCGATTCTCGGATGTTTTAGACTTTTTATACGTCGCGTTTCAGAAGGGGTGGGAACTGTGTCTTCAGAAGATGCCATCGACTTTCACACATGTCCATCCGACGAGAATGCATTATACAGGTGGTCCTGTCGAAAATTTTCGGTGAGGTCACTGGTGCTGAGATCATCCTTGACTATCAAAGATGGTTAATAACTTTTGATCGGCTAGGCCGTCACATATTTCAGAACAAGAATTTGTTTTCGATATTTGTGTACAACTGAATATTGCAATATCAGTAGTTGTTTAATAACTTGAGTTCTGGGAAAAAAGTTCGCTTTTAAAGTTTTTCATAATGAATAAATAAATAACCTGTTCATGATCTATCCAACGGAAAAACGGAAAATTCTACCTCTATACTCTAGTCGACTAACTGCTACAGTGTGACACACTCAGATGAAGACACCCTGTATTTTACATGATAATTCCTGATAATTCCTCTTCCATATTCCCTGTTTCACTATCACAATGTCATTTAAATCAATAATGAATTTAGTCGGTCTTCTTCGGTAATATTAGATACTTCTTCTTTAATTAGCTGTCTTACCTTCTTACTAAATTTTGGAAAAAAATGTACGCAATTTTCCCCAAATCAACTGGTTGATATTGAAAACACAAAAATGGGGGAGAAGTCTCAGTATCGTGTGTCAATATTTTTCAGCAAAACTCTCAAGGGCATCATACACTTATCCAAATGTTTTTGTCTGTAAAACTTCAACTAGTTGCTTTTTGGTATAGTAATATTCAAAATACAAATTGTTATTCATTAAAAAACGTATTTCATCTTTTTCGAATTTTTATTCAGTACTTTGATGAGCTGTCGCGAATTGAAGGAAGCGTTGTCAAGAACTATTACACTATTCGCATCAAAATTTGGGATCGATGTGTTTTCAAACCATTTCTCGAAAATATTATCTTCCATGTTTTTATAATAGTCAATACTGCAGTCCTCAAGTTTTTTTCACATAATTTCAAAGAATTCGGAACCCATCCTTTACTTCCTCCGCAATGCACAATGATTAGTCGCGAACCTTTGTTTGTAGGCATGTTAGGCGTACACATTCTCGAACCATAAGTCCACCCTTTCGTGACTGTGTCGTGAGTGTCAAACCAAGTTTCGTCCAAATAGAAAATTTTCCGTTGTTATTGTATATATTTAGTTATTTGTTCTGAGTATATGTTACGAAATTCCACTATTCTTCTGCTTTCCATAACTGCTTGACGTTTGTTTATTATTGTAAATCTAAATCCTAGTTTCTTTATTCAATTCTGAAGAGTTTTGTCATAGCAGCTCACGTTATGGCAGGGAAGTATTCAATGTTTTCCTTATGATTTCAGTTGTAGGAATTTCATTGCTTTTGTGACAGTCGTATTATGTTTTTCAATGATTTTATTAGATAAACATCTGAAGGTTCTGGTAATCCTGTATCACATCGTGTCTTGCGTTCATTAGGTTTGTTTTTTTCTATTTCACGTATAGTTTCACGTACAGATTTCGGTCAAATCTAATGTTGCTTGTGACAGTTTGTTTCCCTTGATGTAGATTCTTATATACATTGAAACATACTCTCTGTGTTTCAATATTCAAATGCATCCGAATCTCATTCACTAGTCTCTCTTTTTCACATTGTTCGCCATCGCTATTGAAATCACTATACAGGAAAAAGTCTGCGTTGTTATCATACTCGTTATTACTATAAGTACTTGTCCAAGCACGACACATTTTAAACAGATAACAAAAAATTTAAGTAACTTAAATTGCACCAATATCGAATTTCAACCCGCAAATCGCGATCAGTTCCTGAACTGAACACGACGGCGTAACATGAATTCAAATTTAATTTTATGACTCTTCAGCCAATCATAAAACTCGGTTAGTAAAAATTATCCAATACGAACCGCCAATTCTACAGTCCTCGTGGACTAGTTCGTTGCCGGTTCATTTGTATGTATTGGTTTCTTTGGCCTTTGAGAGTGCCGCCATTTTCAAGAGTGCACAAAAAAGGGCAAATTCTCGATATTTTGCCTTGCAAATTTCAACTCAAGACTCGGAATTCTCGGAATTCTTTTTGTAATTTTCATTCTCATTTCCAATTAATGGTTCCGAATAAGAAGCTACAGGAATGAAAAAATAGTCAAAATCAATGAATTAAATGTATTGAAATAACTAAAATTGAAAATTCTCATTTTATCGAATGTAAGTTAAGCATTTTCTTCTATTTGAATACTGATAAATTTAGTAAAATACAAAAATTATTTCACATAATTTACAGGTCAAAACATTTTGAAACAATAAAAGAAAAATCCTCTCAGGTATCTCAAAGGTGCAAATTAGTTTCCTCCTTTCCATAAAAGAGGACGTATGCCTCTCCAGTCACAGGCGATTTTGGTGAAATTGGTGACACGTGTAAACCATTGTATTCGTGCCACGTGCCAGAGTAAGGATGTCTGCAATATGCTGTGTAATGTCCGCTGTAATTAGACCCACCGTGATTCGAAAGTGCATATAGATTATAATGACAAGGAGTCACATTGTCTGCTGTATAATTGTCATATTTCTAATTCTTCTAGAGGAATTTCGATGGGAACATTCAACTTGCCTCTAAATCTAGAGGTAATATTTTAAAATGAATTACTGAAGTACGGGGAAATTTATGGATTGATAGAGACTTTGTGCATTTTCTTTTTTTCTTGCAATTTTTCTTGCAAACGAAATACTCCTTGTTATCCATGGGTTCGTTTCAGCATAAATGTATGGTGAGGTCTTATTAGGTTTTAAATCATTAAACCAGTTCTTTACGAAGGTAATTTGACAGGTGAGCGTTTTTTCAACAAGACGTTGCACTTCGAAACTAAAATAGGACTGGCCGATACTTGAATGATTTTCACTATACATTAGCATCGATAGCCGTACCGTTTCGAAGGTTACAAGAAAGGTTTCCAAGTGTGCCCAAAACTGCATTCAACAAGGTGGAGATGTTCATTAACATTCAGTTCAATTTTTCATAATAATTTAAACAATAAGTATTTCAACCGATATGCATTATTTTTATGGCAAACTTGACGAAAAATGAAAAAGGCGTTTGGGATTTGGGTTTGGGGGTTTGGGATAGAATTCACCATAGCCTTTTGAGTTCAGAAGAGAGTTGGCAAATCGATTAAGGTAGAAATATACAGGGTGTTTTTTTGAATAAATCGATAACGTGATGTATTTTTTTTCTGTTAGCAACCCGTTAATCAGCGTCAAAAACTACTAGCCCTTTAATTTACCCGAATTCGTATCTTCAATAATAAAGAAGTTGGCCGACTTGAGTTTCATCACACTGTATGTATATTTTTCATTGTATCGTTAGTGCCAAACGAGTGTTCTCAACACATTTAGCTGTTTCTGTATGTATTCAATATGTCCATGATTGTTTGAAGGTGATTGACAATGTTTCATGATGAATTTCATTATTTCGGACTTCTATTGTCTGGTATTATATAAAATGATCTGAAATCCCTGAAAGAACTAATAAAAAAAGAAGATCTTAAAAAAGAATAGCTGAAAATAACAATCATGTCATCGCTAACACCGCACCACAGTAAGCCCCCTCACTTGTATGGACTACCCACAATCCACAAGGAAGACGTTCCGCTCAGATCGATCATCAGCTCTAGAGACTCGGCTACTTAAAACTTGACTAGATTTTTACTCCCCATAATACAACCATTACAAGGAACAACATCTTCTTTTGTGAAGAATTCAAGGCATTTTGTCGAACTACTAGGGGCGATTGAAGTCACACATCAAGATCAACTAATCAGTTTCGACGTAGAAAGCCTTTACACCAACAGAGACATAGAACGTAGAAGATAGCACGAATTTACCTATAGAAGTAACTGTGGAATTACTAGGATGCTGTGTACGAAACGGTTATTTCCAACTGAAGGACGAATTCTTTACACAAGATTAGGGACTGCCAATGGGATCGCCACTTTCACCAGTCATAGCCAACATATACATGAAGTGGTTTGAAACTCTGGCCATTGAAGAAGCCCACAAGAAACCTCGTGTCTGGTTGAGATACGTTGACGACACCTTCATGATATGGAACCTTGGGAATACTGAACTAGACGCCTTCCTGAAACACATCAACAGCATAAGACTTTCCAACACTTTCAAAATGGAGAAGAAAGTTCACAACGAATTGCCATTCTTAGACGTAATGGTGAAGAGGACCGACACTAAGTGGAAAACATCTGTATATCAAAAACCCACTCACACATGACAGTATCTGAACCACGAATCCAACCACTATCAATTGACTAAAAGAGGAATCATCAAAACTCTATTAGACCGCGCATTCGGGCTCTGTAATACGAAGGAAGGTCTCGAGAAGGAACTGGACATCATCAGAAATGATCTTCAATGGAATGGCTACTCCAAAGCGATGGTGGAACAAGAATTTGGCTGAAAGACAGCAGGAACCTCGCAAGGAAGAGAAGCCGTCACAACTAGTGCTTGCACTTCCCTACATCAGAGGATTATCGAAAAGGATAAGAAGAATTCGATCCAAGTACAACATCAGAACCTGCTTCAGATCCGAAACCTCTATCTGAAGCAGCTTCACGAAAACCAGGCCACCGAACCTGGACTGCGATTCCAAGAATTGCGTTTACCGGATACCCTGTGAGTGCGGAAAATCCTATATTGGTGAAACTGAGAGACAATTGAATATTCGCATTGCCGAACACAAGAATTACACACAGCGAGGGGAAACCAGCAAATCAGGAATAGCAGAGCATCTTTGGACCCATCAACATAATATCAAGTGGATGAAATTTAAAGAAGCCGCGTACATGCTGTCCAACAATGTATTCAGCCAAGCTAGCGTAGAGATACGCAACATATGGAAACCCATAATCAAGCGAAAAATGGCCAACTCCCGTCAAACGGTCATCTCCCACTAAACCGGTGAAGCGGAAAAAGGAAAGCGGAGATAAGAGAAAGTATTGGAATGACCCATAAA